AGTGGCGGGGCAAGGTAACTCAGCCAGTGGCGGGACAAGCTCTCTCAGCCAGTGGCGGGGCAAGGTAACTCAGCCAGTGGCGGGGCAAGGTCACTCAGCCAGTGGCGGGGCAAGGTCACCCAGCCAGTGGCGGGGCAAGGTCACCCAGCCAGTGGCGGGACAAGGTCACATAGCCAGTGGTGGGGCAAGGTCACCCAGCCAGTGCTGGGACAAATTCATCCAGTGCCCAGGGTGAAGATGCCAAACCCATTGTCCAGGCCCTGCCTCCAGCACCCAGGGCAAAGATGCCAAACTGCTCCCTACACAGGGGATCCTACACCCAGCAGTCCCTCACTTATCAAAATCACTGCCACTATCACTACTCCTGTCGGCCTTGTAACAGAAGAAAGGTGCCCCCATCCCTACAGCAAACCATTGTGCCCAGGGCAGCCGCCCCTCCTGCCCACCCATTGTCCAGGCCCTTGCTGCTCTCCTACAGACACGTCCTCCTCTCCTCACCACCATTTCATGGGAGTGGAGGAGATTTGTAGTTTACAGAAGATACCTTGTATAGAGGGTAATGTTGTGTGTGATTTCTGGTAATATCAACGGATATTTATTGTTCTTGCTGAAAACGGTTCAAGCCTGAAAAATTAAAATGAATGCGGCCATCATGCCTAGACGTTGGTAAGCTACAATGTATTGCATTTCTGTTCTCAGGATTAGGTACACTTTGATCTTCGGCACACTATAGCCTGTGTTGAAGGTGCACACGTATTGGGTAATATTTCTTCTAGAAAAGGTCAGCACTGTGTGCTGAGGACAGAACAAATTTGCTTAGCAGCTTCGATAACACACAAGTCATAGTCCGGTCCCATGAAAGGGTCACTCGAGGACATCCCAAGCCTCCAACAGTGTCGAGAGGATGTTCTCACGAAAAAAGGTCCCCTCACTGATTTTCCAAAGTGAGATGTGGTCAGGGGCAGACTGACAACTCATGGGGCCCCCGGGTAATAGGGGATCATGGGGTCCCTGTGTCCTTGCCCAAACTCAAAAAAGCCTATGAAAAAGGTACCAGAGGCATCTCATGGGGCCCCCTACTGATCCTGGGCCCTCAGGCAGTGCCCGAGTTTCCAAATGGTCAGTCCACCACTGGATGTGGTAGTCAAAGAAATATATAACAATAATTAGATAAGTACTTACGCCTAAGGCACAACTGGGGCTTTTTTCTCTCAGAGGATAGGTGCTGGAACTCGTACTTTCCGAGTCACCCATTGTCTCCGCCCCCCCTACCCACCTCTGAGCACCATTCCTTGATTCCACCCCCTACCCACCTCTGAGCATCGTTCCTTGATTCCACTCCCTACCCACCTCTGAGCACCATTCCTTGATTCCACCCCTTACTCACCTCTGAGCACCATTCCTTGATTCCAACCCTTACTCACCTCTGAGCACCGTTTCTTGATTCCACTCCCTACCCACCTCTGAGCACCATTCCTTGATTCCACCCCTTACTCACCTCTGAGCACCATTCCTTGATTCCAACCCTCACTCACCTCTGAGCACCGTTTCTTGATTCCACTCCCTACCCACCTCTGAGCACCGTTTCTTGATTCCACTCCCTACCCACCTCTGAGCACCGTTCCTTGATTCCACTCCCTACCCACCTCTGAGCACCGTTTCTTGATTCCACTCCCTACCCACCTCTGAGCACCGTTCCTTGATTCCACCCCCTACACTCCTCTGAGCACCGTTCCTTGATTCCACTCCCTACCCACCTCTGAGCACCGTTCCTTGATTCCACTCCCTACCCACCTCTGAGCACCGTTCCTTGATTCCACTCCCTACCCACCTCTGAGCACCGTTCCTTGATTCCACCCCCTACACTCCTCTGAGCACCATTCCTTGATTCCACCCCTTACTCACCTCTGAGCACCGTTTCTTGATTCCACCACCTACACACCTCTGAGCACCATTCCTTGGTTCCAATCACTACCCACATTTTTCTGCATTTGCGGTTTTTAGTCCTCACGCATGCAGGACATTTTTACAGCGGCTGTTTTTGGCTTTTGACATTTTTTTCTACAGCCAGTAAACCCCCCAGCATGTTATCCTAGGTGTGTCCATCCCCGGCATGTTATCCTATGTGTCCATCCCCAGCATGTTATCCTATGTGTCCATCCCCAGCATGTTATCCTCGGTGTGTCCATCCCAGGCGTGTTATCCTATGTGTCCATCCCCGGCATGTTATCCTATGTGTCCATCCCCCCCATGTTATCCTATGTGTCCATCCCCGGCATGTTCTCCTGTGTGTCCATCCCCGGCATGTTCTCCTATGTGTCCATCCCCGTCATGTTATCCTATGTGTCCATCCCCGGCATGTTCTCCTGTGTGTCCATCCCCGGCATGTTCTCCTATGTGTCCATCCCCATCATGTTATCCTGTGTGTCCATCCCCGGCATGTTATCCTATGTGTCCATCCCCGGCATGTTCTCCTATGTGTCCATCCCCGGCGTGTTCTCCTATGTGTCCATCCCCGGCGTGTTCTCCTATGTGTCCACCCCCGGCGTGTTATCCTATGTGTCCACCCCCGGCGTGTTCTCCTATGTGTCCACCCCCGGCGTGTTCTCCTATGTGTCCACCCCCGGCGTGTTATCCTATGTGTCCACCCCCGGCATGGTATCCTATGTGTCTACCCCCGGCATGTTATCCTATCTGTCCACCCCCGGCATGTTATCCTATGTGTCCACCCCCGGCATGGTATCCTATGTGTCCATCCCCGGCATGTTATCCTATGTGTCCATCCCCGGCGTGTTATCCTATGTGTCCATCCCCGGCGTGTTATCCTATGTGTCCATCCCCGGCGTGTTATCCTATGTGTCCATCCCCGGCGTGTTATCCTCGGTGTGTCCATCCCCGGCGTGTTATCCTCGGTGTGTCCATCCCCGGCGTGTTATCCTCGGTGTGTCCATCCCCGGCGTGTTATCCTATGTGTCCATCCCCGGCGTGTTATCCTATGTGTCCATCCCCCCCATGTTCTCCTGTGTGTCCATCCCCGGCATGTTATCCTAAAAATGTTCCGTGTGCATGAGGACTAAAAACCGCAAATGTGGGAAAATGCGGTAAAACACTACTAAACGCGGTTAAACGCTAATGCAAAAACGCTAAAAAAAGCTCACATTTTTACCGTGACTTTACACAGCTAACGTTACCAGCTTTTTTTTTTTTTAATCATTTTTGCATTAGCGTTTAGCTGCGTTTTCCCGCGTTTGCGTTTTTAAGTGTTTTTTTTTTACCAAATAAAAATTTTTTTGGTAAAAAAAAACTTCCAAAAAACGCAAGTTTGCGGCGTTTTACTGCGTTTTTCAGCATTAGAGCGTTTTTACAGCTAAAAATCTCCTCTAAAAGCCCGCTAGTTCTGGGTTTTGCTTTCCAGCCAAAACACGCTGATTCCAGTCTGTGTGTGTGTGGACACGTAGGAGAACACGCCGGGGATGGACACGTAGGAGAACACGCCGGGGATGGACACGTAGGAGAACACGCCGGGGATGGACACGTAGGAGAACACGCCGGGGATGGACACGTAGGAGAACATGCTGAGGGGTTACTGGCTGTAGAAAAAAACGTCAATAGCAAAAAAAGCCACTGTTACCCCTCACGCACGCGGGGGGCATTTTGATAACGCCGGTAACTTTAGATATGTAAAGTCACATTAAAAGCGTGAATTTTTCATCTTTTTTTAGTGTTTTTACATTAACGTTTTGCCACGTTTAGTGGCGTTTTCTAGCACTTTTTTAGTGTTTCTGCATTAACATTTTTCCATGTTTAGTGGTGTTTTCCCACGTTTGAATTTTTAGCACTTTTTTAGTGTTTTTGCATTAACGTTTTGCCACGTTTAGTGGCGTTTTTCCGCGTTTGCGGTTTTTAGCGCTTTTGTAGTGTTTTGTGTTAACGTTTTGCCACGTTTAGTGGTGTTTTCTAGCACTTTTTTAGTGTTTCTGCATTAACATTTTTCCATGCTTAGTGGTGTTTTCCCACGTTTGCATTTTTAGCACTTTTTTAGTGTCTTTGCATTAACGTTTTGCCACGTTTAGTGGCGTTTTCCCGCGGGTTTTTTTTTGGTCAAAAAAAGTCCCGCGTTTTGCTGCATATTCCAGAATTGCATTTTTACAGCTAAAAAAACCATCCAGTGTGCATGAGGACTCGATCATATATGTAGCCTCTCAGCACCGGTTCACATACATGTGGTGTGGTAAATTGCATGTGATTCGTGCAGGACCCGCACCGCATTCCCGTACAGATTACATGCGGTTTGTGTGCGGTGCGATCGGAGTCGTACATTTTGTATGGCTCTATTTGCACCACATTCGCACCAAAAAGGTGCAGCACCCTTTTTTTGGTCTGCACTAGATTCGGATTTCGTGGGTATTCACACCTATGTGATCCGATTCTGCACATCGCACCGCATTTTGCGGACCACTTTTGGGGTGTTGTTCACTTAACATACACACCCGCGTCGGTTCGCATGAACGGGGTGCGATTCTGATGCGGTGCGAAAACACTGTGAATTGCCCACTGCCTCAGAGTGAACCCGGGCTCCAAGAGGCCAGAGGAGGTCTAATGGGATTTCACAATGAAAGCTTTTCACTGCCCCACATCCGTGTCCATTGGAGCAACATTCACCTCTGTGGGCGGTGTCACCCGCTGAACACGACGTGCCCTCTGCACCAATGTGTAGGGGGCTATCAAGCAGCCGCTGCCTAGTTTTGCTGCCCGGCAGTCCCGTGTGAGAGGGGCCTTAGGAGGAGGTGCAAACCCTAACTGGAAAGGCGCTGGTTGGTTCTCTGCACTCTGCATACTAGAGGTCCCCCTTGATTCCATGAACAGATCCATATTTCCTGCCTTCTAGAGAGAGACTACAAGAGCTGGCAGTGCAAAGTACGAGTCAGGAGGAGATAAGGAGTGCTAGCCGGGTCCAAAGGTTCATTCCAGACCGTGGTGTCCTGGTGCGGGGCGTTGAAGCACACACACTATATTGCCAGAAGTATTGGGCCAGCCCTCCATATCATGTGATTCAGGTGTTCCAATCCCCTCCATGTCATGTGATTCAGGCGTTCCAATCCCCTCCCAATCATGTGATTCAGGTGTTCCAATCCCCTCCATGTCATGTGATTCAGGCGTTCCAATCCCCTCCCAATCATGTGATTCAGGTGCTCCAATCCCCTCCATATCATGTGATTCAGGTGCTCCAATCCCCTCCATATCATGTGATTCAGGCGTTCCAATCCCCTCCCAATCATGTGATTCAGATGTTCCAATCCCCTCCCAGTCATGTGATTCAGATGTTCCAATCCCCTCCATGTCATGTGATTCAGGCGTTCCAATCCCCTCCATATCATGTGATTCAGGCGTTCCAATCCCCTCCATATCATGTGATTAGGGCGTTCCAATCCCCTCCCAATCATGTGATTCGGGCGTTCCAATCCCCTCCCAATCATGTGATTCGGGCGTTCCAATCCCCTCCAATCATGTGATTCGGGCGTTCCAATCCCCTCCAATCATGTGATTCGGGCGTTCCAATCCCCTCCAATCATGTGATTTGGGCGTTCCAATCCCCTCCAAATCATGTGATTCGGGCGTTCCAATCCCCTCCATATCATGTGATTCAAGTGTTCCAATCCCCTCCCAATCATGTGTTTCGGGTGTTCCAATCCCCTCCATATCATGTGATTCGGGCGTTCCAATACCCTCCCAATCATGTGATTCGGGCGCTCCAATCCCCTCCAATCATGTGATTCGGGCGTTCCAATCCCCTCCAATCATGTGATTCGGGCGTTCCAATCCCCTCCAATCGTGATTTGGGCGTTCCAATCCCCTCCAATCATGTGATTCGGGCGTTCCAATCCTCTCCATATCATGTGATTCGGGCGTTCCAATCCCCTCCCAATCATGTGATTCGGGCGTTCCAATCCTCTCCATATCATGTGATTCAGGCGTTCCAATCCCCTCCCAATCATGTGATTCAGGCGCTCCAATCCCCTCCATATCATGTGATTCGGGCGTTCCAATCCCCTCCCAATCATGTGATTCGGGCGTTCCAATCCTCTCCATATCATGTGATTCAGGCGTTCCAATCCCCTCCCAATCATGTGATTCAGGCGCTCCAATCCCCTCCATATCATGTGATTCAGGTGTTCCAATCCCCTCCATGGACACAGGTGTATACAATCCATCCCCTAGGCATGCAGACTGCTTCTACAAACATTGGTGAGAGAATGGGTCGCTCTCAGGAGCTCAGTGACTCCAAGCGTGGTCCCGTGATAGGTGGCCACCTGGGCAATAAGTCCATCCGTGACATTTCCTGGCTACTAAATATTCCACACTCAACTGTTGGTGGGATTATAACAAAGTGGAAGCAACTGGGAACAACAGCCACTCAGCCACCAAGTGGTAGGCCACGTCACATGACAGGGCGGGGTCAGCGCATGCTGAAGCGCACAGTGCGCAGAAGTCGCCAACTGTCTGCAGAGTCAATAGCTAAAGACCTCCAAACTTGGTGTGGCCTTCAGATGAGCCCAACAACAGTGCGTAGAGAGCTTCATGGAATGGGTTTCCATGGCCGAGCAGCTGCATCCAAGCCTACCATCACCAAGTGCAATGCAAAGCGTCGGATGCCATGGTGTAAAGCACGCCGCCACTGGACTCTAGAGGAGTGGAGGCGTGTTTTCTGGAGGGACCAATCACGCTTCTCCGTCGGATGTGTCTAGGTTTGGCGGTTGCTTTGAATAAAATAGAAGGAATATAACCATCTTACGAAATTTAAATTTTAAATAGAATACATTTGAATTTGAATAGAACAGATTAGAATAGAAAATAATAGAATAGAAGAAAAAAACAATGGAATAGAATAAGATAGAAAAAAAACATAACCAATCTTCCGAAAGTTCAATTGTGAATAGAATAAATTTGAATATAATAGAACAGAATAGAAAAGAACAGAACAGAAAAATAAATAATACAATAGAAAAAATACAATAGACTAGAATAAAATAGAATATAACCATCCGAAATTTGAATAGAATACAAAAGAATCTAAAAAGACAGAATAGAATAGAAAAAAAACAATAGAACAAAATAAAATAGAACATAACTGTCTTTTCCTAAATGAAAATTCGAATAGAATAGATTGGAATAGAAAGAATATAAACCTTCTTCCGAAATCTGAATAGAATAAAGTAGAATTCGATATCGGTTGAATTGAATTCGAATGAAATCAAATTTGAAAATGAAAACGAATTTAGCCAAATGAAATGATTTCAACGAATCAAAAGGAAACAATCGTTGTCGTTCTGCGCACTAATGGCTGTTGCTGTGTCCCCTTTGTAGTGATTCCTGATCACTTCCTGTTTCTCTGACCCCGTGACAGGAAGTGAGGGGCACTACAGACAGTAGGCCTGGCTGAGGTTGTATGGAGTCTCGGCAGGAGTTGGGCTCCTAAGATGTGTTTCACTGAACTGCAGAGTGTAGTCACCCTTTAAGTGGGCCAAAGCAGCAGCAGGTAAGCTCCTTCAATAAACTTTATTAGATCCCCCTTGCTGTACAGAGCCCAGCACCCAGCTGTGTCATCGCCAGTCACTGGGAGGGGCGTGGTAGCTTGCCACACAGACCCCGCCTCTGCCCCTCCGCCGGGGTCGCTTAGCAACCAGCGGGAGGATAGAGGGCTTTCACATTACGTCGCAGGAAGGATGACGTCAGGGGTGTCGCGCCGGCTCCCTCCACCCGGCAGAAGCATGTGTCCCTCCTCCTGTGAGTCTGGGCGGCTTCCGGTTTCCGGCCTGTGTTCCAGGGGCCTGAGCGGCGCAGGGAGGGAAGGATGGTGCTTATTAAGGAGTTGTGAGTACCCCTGGAGGGGGGCCTGGGGTAGGGGGTATTGGGTGCTGGTGGGGGGGAAGTGTGGGGATCAGGGGAGGAGCTGCTGTCAGCAGAGGCCTGGGGGAGGGGTGGGGTGATTTTCTGACAGATAGACCCGGCCTGATGTCACTGGAGGTGGGAGGATGGAAGGAGAGGGCTCTGATGAGGGGGGACTACAAGGCTCAGCAGATGTCAGGGGAACACAGGGCCCGGATTTACCTCTGAGGGACTACAAGTGTCAGCATGTTCTGTACTGGCTGACTACAGTCCCCAGAGAAACCTTATCAGCTGTGGGGGGCACCACAGGTCCCAGCATGACCTACCATCTGCCTGGGAGGACTACAATACTCAGCATAACCTGCCAGCTGCTGGAGGGAGGGGGAACTACAATCTCCACTGTAGCCTTCCAACTGCTTAGGGGGAACTGCAGTTCCCAGCATAGCCTACAAGTTGCCTGGGAGGACTACAATCCCCAGCATAACTCAGCTGCAAGGAGGGCCTACAATCTCCAGCACAGCCTACCTACTGCTGGGTGGGGACCAAAATCCCCAGCATAACCTGCCAGCTTCCTGGGGGTACTATAATCCCCAGCATAACCTGCCAGCTTCCTGGGGGTACTACAATCCCCAGCATAACCTGCCAGCTTCCTGGGGGTACTACAATCCCCAGCATAACCTGCCAGCTTCTTGGGGGTACTACAATCCCCAGCATAACCTGCCAGCTGCCTGGGGGTACTACAATCCCCAGCATAACCTGCCAGCTGCCTGGGGGTACTACAATCCCCAGCATAACCTGCCAGCTGCCTGGGGGTACTACAATCCCCAGCATAACCTGCCAGCTGCCTGTGGGTACTACAATCCCCAGCATAACCTGCCAGCTGCCTGTGGGTAACTACAATCCCCAGCATAACCTGCCAGCTGCCTGTGGGTACTGCAATCCCCAGCATAACCTGCCAGCTGCCTGTGGGTACTGCAATCCCCAGCATAAGCTGCCTGGGGGTACTACAATCCCCAGCATAAGCTGCCTGGGGGTACTACAATCCCCAGCATAAGCTGCCTGGGGGTACTACAATCCCCAGCATAAGCTGCCAGCTGCCTGTGGGTACTGCAATCCCCAACATAAGCTGCCTGGGGGTACTACAATCCCCAGCATAAGCTGCCTGGGGGTACTACAATCCCCAGCATAACTCAGCTGCAAGGAGGGCCTACAATCTCCAGCACAGCCTACCTACTGCTGGGTGGGGACCAAAATCCCCAGCATAACCTGCCAGCTTCCTGGGGGTACTATAATCCCCAGCATAACCTGCCAGCTTCCTGGGGGTACTACAATCCCCAGCATAACCTGCCAGCTGCCTGGGGGTACTACAATCCCCAGCATAACCTGCCAGCTGCCTGTGGGTACTACAATCCCCAGCATAACCTGCCAGCTGCCTGTGGGTACTACAATCCCCAGCATAACCTGCCAGCTGCCTGTGGGTACTGCAATCCCCAGCATAACCTGCCAGCTGCCTGTGGGTACTGCAATCCCCAGCATAAGCTGCCTGGGGGTACTACAATCCCCAGCATAAGCTGCCTGGGGGTACTACAATCCCCAGCATAAGCTGCCTGGGGGTACTACAATCCCCAGCATAAGCTGCCAGCTGCCTGTGGGTACTGCAATCCCCAACATAAGCTGCCTGGGGGTACTACAATCCCCAGCATAAGCTGCCTGGGGGTACTACAATCCCCAGCATAACCTGCCAGCTGCCTGGGGGTACTACAATCCCCAGCATATTCTAACAGCTGCCAGAAGGATCTCATGCTCCAGCACAACACACCATCTGTCAAGGAAGCTACAGTCCCCAGCATAACCTACCAGATTCTGGGAAGGGGGGGGGGGAAGGTGTTGGTGGTGGCTACAAATCTTGTGCCGGGGGAACCACAAGCCCCAGCATTACCTACCAGCTGCCAAGAGCGGCTACAACCGCCATTATAACCTGCTATCTGTTGGGGGACTGCAGCATTGCCTCCTTCCAGCTTCTGAAGAACTATAAGTGCCAATGTATCCTTCCAGCTATTGGTGGACTACAAGTACAAGCATGGGTGACCAGATCCTTCCATCTGGTTGGAGGCTGCCTGTCCCAGCATGCTCTACTAATACGCCACCTTCTGCTGGCAATCTACAAGTCCCAGCTCATCTTTTCTTCCAGACAAAGTTCAGTCCTGTCATATCATGTCTTGCCAGACGGGGGGGGGCTACAAGTCCCAGCATTCTCTGATCATGTCCTGTCAGACGGGGGGGCTACAAGTCCCAGCATTCTCTGATCATGTCCTGCCAGACGGGGGGCTACAAGTCCCAGCATTCTCTGATCATGTCCTGCCAGACGGGGGGCTACAAGTCCCAGCATTCTCTGATCATGTCCTGCCAGACGGGGGGCTACAAGTCCCAGCATTCTCTGATCATGTCCTTCCAGACGGGGGGCTACAAGTCCCAGCATTCTCTGATCATGTCCTGCCAGACGGGGGGGGGGCTACAAGTCCCAGCATTCTCTGATCATGTCCTGCCAGACGGGGGGCTACAAGTCCCAGCATTCTCTGATCATGTCCTGCCAGACAGGGGGGCTACAAGTGCCAGATGGGGGGGCTACATGTCCTAGCATTCTCTGATCATGTCCTGCCAGACAGGGGGGGACTACAAGTCCCAGCATTCTCTGATCATGTCCTGCCAGACTGGGGGCTACAAGTGCCAGATGTGGGGGCTACAAGTCCTAGCATTCTCTGATCATGTCCTGCCAGGCGAGGGGCTACAAGTCCTAGCATTCTCTGATCCTACCTCTAGGAGGACCGCAGACCTCATGCTATGGACGGTTCCCATGGATGTTCTGCTCTCTTGTTTTCTATGAGCATTTGTTGTGCAGGTTTTGCTGGGACTTGTAGTTCCTCAGCAGGCCTACATTAGCATCTTCCTTTGCGATTGTCATCTACATAACTTTCTTTTCTTTCTCTTCCCACAGTCGTGTCCGTCTGCCCATATCTGTGGAAGAGGTAAGTGCTCCTCTACCAATAGCAGAGATAGATAAACTCAGCGGTCTAGCTGTTGTGGAACTACAAGTCCCATGAGGCATTGCAATGCTGAAAGGCACAGGCTTGCCTCCCAGAGGCATGATGGGAATTGTAGTTTCACCACAACTGCAGTACTGAGATCACCTCCCTGTTATAGAGTCTCCTTTTGATTACGAAACTCCCGACTTGAGCAATCCCAGAATGATGTAAGGTGTTTTTGTTTTGTTTTTTGGGAAGTTAGATTTTCGTAATGCTTTAAAGCCTAACTCCTGCCTTTTTTGTTTAGTTTTTCTTTTGTTTTTTTTTGTCTTGAAGTTTTTGTTTTTTTTAGTATTTTTAGTTTAGTTTTGAGGCTGAACTTTAGGCAGATATGAAGGACACAATTTCATGCGGTTCTGTATTCAATAATATATTGTTTTGTAGAAGTATGGGCAAGGCTCTTTTGGCTATACCTTTATGGTGGGTTGTCACAGAGCCGCTCCAGGTACTCTTTATTGAGGGATCTGGGGTCTATAAAACCTCAAATCTAAGATCGGTGTTTTTGAATGCTTTCAAAGTTTTTTTAAAAAATGGTGCCGAACGTTTCTGAGTAAACCATAAGGGATGTCAGGTCATCACTTCTGGTTTACTATAAAGGTTGCTCAGGACTCCCGGCGGGATGGGAGATCGGGAGAGAGCCGTGGGAGGAAGGGGGGAGACCTCCCCTCCTATTGCTTGTACAAGCAATCGAGCAGCTAGTTAGCCGCTGCGATTTCTTGTACAAGAGAGTCGACCACCAGTCCTCCCTGGCCGGGCCCGGCGGCGGGCCAGGTCCTCCCTGGCCGGGCCCGGCGGCGGGCCAGGTCCTCCCTGGCGGGCCCGGCGGCGGGCCAGGTCCTCCCTGGCCGGGCCCGGCGGCGGGCCAGGTCCTCCCTGGCCGGGCCCGGCGGCGGGCCAGGTCCTCCCTGGCCGGGCCCGGCGGCGGGCCCGGCCCTCCCTGGCCGGGCCCGGCGGCGGGCCCGGCCCTCCCTGGCCGGGCCCGGCGGCGGGCCCGGCCCTCCCTGGCCGGGCCCGGCGGCGGGCCCGGCCAGGGAGGACCTGGCCCGCCGCCGGGCCCGGCCAGGGAGGTCCTGGCCCGCCGCCGGGCCCGGCCAGGGAGGACCTGGCCCGCCGCCGGGCCCGGCCAGGGAGGACTGGTGGTCGACTCCCTCCCTGTCCGGGCCCGGCGGCGGGCCAGGCCCTCCCTGTCCGGGCCCGGCGGCGGGCCAGGCCCTCCCTGTCCGGGCCCGGCGGCGGGCCAAGTCCTCCCTAGCCGGGCAGCGAGGCACAATTTCCCAAATAGTGACTTGGAGCAATAAAAAACAGTCTCTAACTGCTTTCTAATTTATCCAAAATGAAATTTGAACATTTTGATTGAGCTTGAGTGTAACTGTTCATACTGGTGTATGTGACTCCCCCCATTCCTCCCATGTGGCTGTGTTAGCACATGGTAGTTGGCTACTCAGATACCCAGAGTTGTCACTTAATAAACTGATCTACCACTGAAAGCCTTTTGTTATATTTAACAGACCAAAATGGCGCAAATAAGAGAAGGTAATTTGTTGGTGGTTGCAAATACATTTAGGCAAAGGCCTTCAACTATGTTGCATTCACTGTGCGTGTTCCTCTTCCTCCTCCAGTACCAGGTGGGCCAGCTCTTCTCAGTGGCTGAAGCCAGCAAGGATAACACAGGAGGTGGAGAGGGGATAGAAGTCCTGAAGAACGAGCCTTATGAGCGGGAGGGTGAGAAGGGACAATACACCCACAAGATCTACCACTTGCAGAGGTGAGCCAATCCTATTATTGCGCACCAGATTTTTGCCTTACTTTACCACTGTGCCAAATCTTGTAGACGGAGAGCATACGCCATGTGGGTGAGTGCAGTGACAGAGCTGTGGACCTTCTCCGTGCATCCTGTGCCATCCAAGCTGAAGGAACAAACAAGAGATCCCTGTGCTCAAATCCCAACAGCTAGTGCATGCATTTATCCATCAGGTGCTAAAGGGGTGTAACCACATATTAACACTAGAAATTCTGAGCTGAAGGGACACAATAGGTTCTCTTCATGAAGCAGACACTTTAAATTATTTTCGCAACATTACCCAAAAGTCATGTTTGCGACTCACTTTTGACCATATTTTATGATAGTGATAATGTGGTGAATATCGTCTTTAGCAAGAGAGAGAGGAGACCACGCCTCCAGCAGATGGGTCCCTCTTCCAGGTTGAAAGCAGGCTATCTACATTTAGCCACTTCTTCTGAGCCCAGGTTGTCATGGACACCCCCCCCCTGGGGGTGCCTCATCACACCAACATGGCTTCAGTCTCTCTTTTCGTGGCCACCAGTAGAAAGTATCAGCAGCACTCTGCTAGACCAGTGTTTCTCAACCTTTTTTCAGTCAAGGCACCGTTTAAAATTATGGACAGTCTTGAGGCACCCCATTATAAAATGTAAAAAAACTTTTTTTTAATAGTTTTATATAACGCAGCAACATCCACACATGTAGGACACCCAACATTTATTCTTCCAAATCAAAAACACTTTTGCACACGTGTACTGACTAATATTCCAGTGTTTCTCTCAGTTTTTCTCCATCACTGAGCTAATGTGACCTCAGCACTGATGGAGAGGGGCAGGGGAGGGTCAAACAGGGATGCTGCGCAGTCAACTGACATTCTCCTTATCAACTGATGATGTCATTGGTTGTCAGGATGCCGATGGCTAGAAGGTTGTAATGGCGCACAATGAAGACCTGTGGCTTCGTGTAACTAAAAGGCCGGCTTCTTCCACCTGCAGGCTTGTATACAAGTTTTGGGCAACTTATAGAAATTTTTTGCCAAGGCACCCCTGAAGAAACCTCAAGGCACCCCAGGGTGCCTGGGCACCATGGATGAGAGAGGCTGTGCTACACCAGAACTTCCAAGAGCCACCAGTTATTTATTGGGCCGGCTCTTGGAGGTTTCCATTGACAGAGTAGGCAGGCTTGTGTGTGGCTGCGTGGTTGATAATGGAGTAGAGAACTCCCCTCTCATTGCTGCAGTATCAAGGGAGTGAGTGATTTAGACAGGCTATGCTAACACGCCGACTGCTGCATTTAACTGTTTGTGGCACGGCGATCTCGCCCCTTTTGGGCAACCTGGCCACATTCTAAGGACCTGAGTACAGTTCAGTCCCCTGTTTGAGTCTCATTGCTTGGCTTTCAATTTTTTAACCTTTCAGGAATTGGTAAGGATTTACTGCTCTCCCCTTTTCCTTGCCCATCTGATTTCCTCTGCTGTGTCTTGTTCTGCAGTAAAGTCCCAGGTTTCGTCAAGATGCTGGCCCCCGAAGGCTCCCTGGTATTTCACGAGAAGGCCTGGAATGCCTATCCCTACTGCCGCACAAGTAGGTTTTTTTAATGTAAATTTTACTTAAAATATATGCACATATTTTCATCCCCCATCTAATAATGGTGTCTCTTTTTTTTTTTTTTTCCCTCTTCTCTTCATTAAACACGAATCTCCTGGGGACCCCCAGTTGTCACTGTGAGTATACAACATGGGGCATTGTAGAGTTTGAAATGTTCTGTTCATCTCCTTAAACTGACCACACAATCTCCTTGAGGCTTTTGAATATTTAGTAGCATGAAGACCCACTTGATTGATAAAGCCCTCTACAACCACCTAACGTATGTGCAGTGGGCCACACATATGCGTCGCTCTGGCCGGCTGATGTTTTTCTAGTAGCTGGTTGGACTGGCTCCAAATCATGTGAGCACCAAGACAGCCAATGAAAGTGATTCAAACATACTATTCCCAACGCACACGTTCCTACAAGTGGCTGTAGGTGTTGATGAATGCTGCAGCGGCAACTGCCTGGAATCAAAAGTAATTTTAGCAAGATAATGTCACCAGCACACCATGGATTTCCAGAACGGGCCCGAAGCGTTATTCAGCGATCACATCATTATACCAGAAGCCACGTTTCGGAGCTTCGCAGGAACCCTTCATCAGGCATGTGACCTTCATACCTAATGAAGAAGGGCCCTGTGAGGCTCTGAATAAAGCTTTGGACCCATTCTGGAGATCTGTGGGGTGCTGGGGACATTATCTTGCTTTTGAGCCAATCACAGTGGTCACGTGATCGGCCGATCTTTCCCGCTCCCTGACGATTAGGAACGGGTTAAGATTGTGTAAAGTTAAACTAGACCCAAAAAAGTGCAAGATTTGCTGTGTGCTGCCAGCATTGCTGCAGAGCGTGAAGGGGGGGGGGGTCAGCCTGTCAGTGGTGCCAGCATTGCTGCAGAGGGTGAAGGGGGGGGGGGGGGGGGGGTCAGCCTGTCAGTGGTGCCAGCATTGCTGCTGCAGAGGGTGAAGGGGGGGGGGGGTCAGCCTGTCAGTGCTCAGACCATACGCCGCACACTGCATCACATTGGTCTGCATGGCTGTCGTCCCAGAAGGAAGCCTCTTCTGAAGATGATGACCAAGAAAGCCGCAAACAGTTTGCTGAAAACAAGCAGAATGAGGACATGGACTACTGGAACCGTCTCCTGTGGTCTGATGACACCAACATCAACTGATTGGGTTCAGATGGTGTCAGGTGTGTGTGGGGGCAACCAGGTGAGGAGTACAAAGACAAGTGTGTCTTGCCTACAGTCAAGCATGGTGGTGGGAGTGTCATGGTCTGGGGCCCCATGGTGGTGGGAGTGCCATGGTCTGGGGCCGCATGAGTGCTGCCGGCACTGGGGGGCTACAGTTCATTGAGGGAACCATGAATGCCAACATGTACTGTGACATACTGAAGCAGAACATGATCCCCTCCCTTCAGAGACTGGGCCGCAGGGCAGTATTCCAACATAACGACCCCAAACACACCTCCAAGACCACCATTGCCTTGCTAAAGAAGCTGAGGATAAAGGTGATGGACTGGCCAAGCATGTCTCCAGACCTAAACCCTATTGAGCATCTGTTGGGCATCCTCAAACGGAAGGTGGAGGAGCGCAAGGTCTCTAACATCCACCAGCTCCGTGATGACGTCATGGAGGAGTGGAAGAGGACTCCAGTGGCAACCTGTGAAACTTTGGTGACCTCCATGGCCAAGAGGGTTAGGGCAGTGCTGGAAAATAATGGCGGCCACACAAAATATTGACACTTTGGGCCCAATTTGGACCTTGTCACTTAGGGGTGGACTCACTTTTGTTGCCAGCGGTTTAGACATTAATGGCGGTGTGTTGAGTGATTTGAGGGGACAGCAAATTTCCATGTTATACAAGCTGTACACTGACTACGTCACATTGTAGCAAAGTGTCACATGAAAAGAGAGAATCAAATATTTACAAAATTGTGAGGGGGGAACTCACTTCTGGGAGATACTGTGTATGTGTGTGTATGTATATATGTATGTATATATATATATATATATATATATATATATGAGATTTTGAAAGAGGGTGAAATATATTAGGCAGCAAGTGATCATGTTGTCCCTGAAGTTGATGTGTTGGTAGCAGAAAAAAATTAACAAATGTAAGCATTTGAGTGACTTTGACAAGGGCCAAATTTTAATGGCTGGATGTCTGGGTTAGAACAACTGCAAAACTGAAGCTCTTGTGGGACAGTCCCGGCCTCCAGTGGTCTGGACCGACCAGAAGTGATCCAAGGAAGGAGAACCAGGGAACCGGCATGGACGGCCAAGACTCATTGACGCACATGGGGAGCGAAGGCTGTCCCATGTAGTCGATCCAATAGAAGAGCTACTGTAGCTCAAATTGCTGAAACAATAATGCTGATAGAAAGGTATTGGAACACACAGGGCATCGCAGTTTGTTGTGCATGGTGGTGGGTAGCTACAGAGCGGTCAGGGTGCCCCCATGCTGACTCGTGTTCACAGCCAAAAGCACCTACAATGGGTAGATGAGCATCAAAACTGGGCCATAGAGCAATGGAAGAAGGTGGCCTGGTCTGATGAATCACGGTTTCTTTTACATCGTGTGGCTGGCCGGGTGCTTGTCCATTGCTTACCCAGGAAAGAGATGGCACCAGGATGCAGTATGGGAACAAGGCAAGCCGGCGGAGGCACTGAGACTTAAAGGATCTGCTACTGACAGCTTGTTGCCAGATACCACAGCATACCTTTAGAGATCTAGTGGAGTCCATGCCTTGATGGGCTGTTATGGCTGCAAAAGGGGGACCTACTCAATATTAGGTGGGTGGTCATAATGTTTTGGCTGATCGGTGCCTGTAGTAATTTGAGATGTTTTAGACATCACTGGCTGAATGCTTGTTCCTTCTTAGCGATTCTCTAGGTAGCAGAGACAGAATCAGGATGAAGATCCTGAGTCTCGTCATCTGCGGTGTCTGCTTCCTCCTCTGTCCTCGTTTCCATTCTTCCTTCCCCGAGGCAGAGATACCACACCCTGCAAGCTTACTGGAAAGCTGAAGCGTAACAGCACCATGAAACATTTGCATCGCACCAAAACCAATGCAGCTGCCATTCCGGTCCCTCCCATAACCGTATGTGTTCCTGATCACATTGAAACAGTCTTTCACTTTCACTTCCTCATTTTTACTGAATAGATGGTGAAAGACAAGTGTCCACAGGCCCTTCCCATGAACTGCCACTACACGTTTAACTTGTCGGTAAAGATGATGATACACCGGCGGTTCTGCTGCTAGCGACAAATCGCAGGCAACAGAATTACTAAAAAGGCCGTCTGCATGTCACTATGGATTCGCTCTCCCCCTTTAGCCACACACAGCAAGATGTCGATCTGTTAAATCTCGATTGTTAGGGATAGGAGTATAAAATAAAACCGAGTGAGCGATCAATAAAAAGCAGCTATTGCTCTAAGGTAACCATATAAAACCTCTATCAAACAGTAAAGAAGAAGTGCAGCGCTAATATAGGTTAGTATATAAAAGTGACGGATAAAAGTTCATAAATAATAAATGTTGATATTAATATGAGATCCCAACTGCAGCAGAAATCAGATGCTTGTGCTTGGAAGTAATAGTAAAATTGCGCACTCACCAGATGCGCATTGAATATGCGCATATAAATAAATCCACCAGGCGTATGGTTAACTTCCTTCCAGGTATGGAACAGCACAGCAGAAGTTTCTTGGGCTGGATAAAAGGTCAGCTCATCCAGAGGTCCCCTTTAACCATTTCAATACCGGGCAATTTTACACCTTCCTGCCCAGGCCATTTTTCAGGTTTCAGCGCTCTCACACTTTGAATGACAATTGTGCGGTCATACAACATTGTACCCAAACTAAAATTTTATCATTTTCTTCACACAACTAGAGCTTTCTTTTGGTGGTATTTAATCACTGCCGGGGTTTTTATTTATTGCTAAATTAACAAAAAAGACCAAAAATTTTGAAAAAAAAAAACACATTTTTCTTTGTTTCTGTTATAAAAGTTTACAAATAAATAATTGTTCTTCATAAATTTAGGCCGAGATGTATTCTGCTACATGTCTTTGGTGAACATAACCCAAATTAGGATGTATTATTTAGTTTGTAGGAAAGTTATAGAGTTCACAAACTATGGTATAGATCTGAATATTGATCAATCCTGAAGTACTGACAGCCAATCTAATTTCTTGAGGTCCAAGAATGTCAGAATAGTACAGATATCCCCCAAATGTCAGGACAGTACAGATATCCCCCAAATGACCCCTTTTTGCAGAGTAGACAGTCCGACGTACTTCATAAGAGTCATGGCGAGTTTTTTGAAGTTGTATTTTTTTTGTCATAATTTTTCGGAAAATTAAAAAATTAAAAAAATTATTTTCACTATTTTTTTTTTTTTTTTACATACTGTCACCAGTGCAGTACAGCGTCTTCATATAACTGGCATGGCGGTGATCAGGGACACTGACTGGTGACAGTATGAAAAAAATATATATATTTTTTTTTTTTTTTATTATTATTTTTAATTTTTTATTACATTTTTTTTTATTTTTTTTAAGATTTTTTTTTTCATATTTTACTATGACCAAAGTAGTACAATGTTACCATAGTAACATTGTACTACTTTGGGGAAGTGATCAGTATTTTTATTTTTTTTTTTTTACACAATTTGCTTATAGCAAATAATTACTTTGCTATAAGCAAGCATTTACCTGAATGAAATCGATTTATTCAGCTTTTTTTTTTTTTTTTTTTTTTTTTTTGTGCTTAGCAGTGATTTGGTCACAGCTAATCACATGACATGTGCATGTGATTAGCTGTGACCATTCACAGCTAGGCACTAGTATACAATGGATGGCATCATGAATGAAGCCATCCATTGTATACAACTGTCATGTGACCTGCTGTGATTGGTCACAGCAGGTCACATGGTACCAGCAACGGGAGCCGGTACTCGGATCTGTCAACGGCCGTGTCCGAGGTACACGGC